GGGCGAAGGTAGGCTGTGTTATGTGAGGTTGCCCTCGTTTGAATCGCTCCCATTATCTTTAACGACCACCCCGGGTCCCTTTTGGACTTTCTAGATCGAAAAAGGTTAACTATGTGCTATAATGGTAATGGGAAACAAGGTCTCATCACCACCGGGGCTGTAGGCTTATTAAATTTAATCAACGGATTAATTCCAATGGTTCAAACATTACTCTTTGATTAAAATTGTTGTAGACGTTGTATAAGCATTCTCGGAAGTCTTTTCAAGTTAATTTCATAATCAAATATCTTGTATGAAATTAAATTGGACTCTGCGTTTGGAGTTTTCAAACTGTTTCAACGAGTTTTGTTGTTGATGTATTTTAAATTTGGTTGCAACACTTCAATCCCAATATTAACAATAGATGAGTTATATTTTCAATAAATTGCATTGTAAAATATTGACCTAGAATTTATTTAAAAGATTTCTTTTGACTTGATTTGATTTGATTGATTAAACTTGGACGTGTGCATGTATTGGCTAGAACAAAATACAAGGATAAGTGTATGTTATTAAAAAATGTATACCATAGACATTTTTTTCTGATAGTTTTGTTTGTTTATTGGCAGTTTGGTACTTACGTATTATACGGAGGCCACTTATTTTACAGCGCGCTGCGGCGGTTAGGTTAGGTTGGGTTATCATAAGTTTTTATGACTCATCTCTTATAGTTCGATTCATAACGAAACTAGGAAAGTTCTACAAACATATTTATGATAACCCAACTTAACCCAACTGCCGCAGCGCGCTGTAAAATAAGTGGCCTCCGTATAATACGTAAGTACCGGCAGTTTTTTTGTGTTACAATAATAAGAGTCTGAAGATTTCTAGATGATTTTTAGATGAAAATAGAATATTATAAACAGAATTACGGCTAGAAATTCCTTAATGTTTAATAGGTCTGCATCATTAGGGTTAAAACGTTGGTAAAGTTTCGTATTAGGCCTATTATTCCGTATTCTAGAAAACAAGTATCTTATATTAATTTACTCTTACTAACAATACAAAATCAATTGAATTGTGTGAGAAACTTGTCAAGTGAGTGAGTTAGAGTAAGTGAACGTTTGCTATGACAAGTAATTCGAATCTACACGATATTCTATTTTTCTCATAGAGTATCATACACTGTTTCACATATTTCCATAGACTTAACATACTTCCTTAGATTTGTAAACGATATAGATTAGCACAGATAAATGTTTAGCGCGTTCATACCTGGTAATACAGAGTGTGGTTTTGATGTTTACTTCGTATTTCTCCTTATTCGAAACAGGCTTAAATATTAACAATATTAACGACGTATTTATAAAATCACTTATCCGATATATTCAAAGAAGTAGAGCGTAGAAAAAAACATTTACTCTAAAAAAGGAACATTTACGACGTAAAAAAACTGCTCCTAAACGTACACGAAACACAACAAAACAGGCTTTACTGTTGCAATAGTTTGAGAAGGAAATTTGCACGACCCCAAAGACAATTTTGCCCAACCTACTTTGTCGGCGTCGTAGTCTATCACATCAGTAGTTCCACTTGTCTTGTAAACTATTTATCCTCACAGAAGTGAGTGTCTAAAGGCGGTGACACACTATCGATCTTTTCCCCGATCAAGACCCCGAACCGAGCAGGGAGAAGGGAGAAGGGAGATAAATATCAGCAAAATTTTACTCCGAACATTTCCCCGAACATGACCAAGACCAGACGAATTCTACCGAGCGCTGCAAAAGGAAGTTTGGAGAGAGATAGAGAGTGTGTGCGAGTGAGAGCGCGGAGTCAGTGCCGTGGAAGAGGGAGGGGGTGCATTGACCAAAGCCAAAAAGTTTCTATAACATAAAAATTATTGTTAAAAGTCGCATTTTGAAAACTTGTCGCAAAAATAAAATATTCTAGAAAGGATGCTTAGTTATATCTATTGATTTCTATTGGTTTTATTCATTGAAATTACAGAATGATCATTTTAATTGCCTTTAATATTATTAATGTTTATATTATTTTTGAAAGAATTTAAGTCAACATCAATTACTTAATTCAAATTAATAAAATTGATATAATTGATTTAACGGTTTCTACACTTTCAACCTTGACCAAACAAACCACAACATTACATCTTAAATGATTATAATATATAACGGCAACATATTACCCAACATTTATTTATTTTACCAATTAAAGAGTTTAATTGCCATATTAAATCAGAACTATCAATGCTAGCGCAGGCGGCCGCTCGGTGTGGCGCTCGCGACGATGTACGGGGCAAAAATGTACCGTGACACACTATCGTACATCGGACCGTACATCGGACCGATCTTTTCTTTGATCTTTCGCCAAAAAACCGCCTCCAGAGCGCTCGTCTCCCTGCTCGGCCTGATGTCTTGTTCGGCGTCTTGATCGGTGTACGGACCCGTGACACACTATCGAACATCCTCCCTTCGACCTCCCTTCTCCCTTCTCCCTAAGGGTGGTTCCTTGCTCTGGCAGGGTCAAGGCGCGCCAGGTTAGGTCAGGCACGCAGCCACCTGATCGATCCACGTGTATATCTGGGTCACATGGCCCATCCTTCCACGACAGAGGATCATTCTGTCGAAACTGCGATTACAGTCAAGGTCCTTGATAGTATATTGTTCGCGGTACCGAAAATGAAGTTAAAGCAAGTTATACTGCCATGCCAGCAAGTCATGCACTGTGGATGCGATACTCCCTGGTGTGGATTAACGTCCGCCCTAGTGAGTACTACGACTATCCGCAGTACAATCCTGATAATTAGAAAATTTCGCTAATACCAAGGCAAAAATGTGGTTCGGATTCCACTATAAAATGTAGGTCCCTAAGTTAACATTAGTATGGGCTATTAATTAACAGCAGTGCCTAAGGAATATGTCGGCCTTAGTCAGTAACAAACCTACAAGATCACGCCACTCATCCTACACTCATCTCCATTTATACTTGGCTTATAATACCTACTTCGTAGCGACCATTATTTCAATACAAAGTATTAATGTATTAAACATTGTAAAATGCTAACCTGCTACCATTGGCTTTATATTTACACGTAGTGGCTATAAAGTCAATGCTGCCACTCTAGATATAAATTGTTTGGATTTTATCTAAAAAAAAACGGATGTAAAAATTTCTCGAATAGTCTTGAGAATTCTCTTCCATACTTAACGTTCGGGGATATTTTGGTACTAACCGTTCGATGATGAAATATTATTACATTTCCAGTTCGTTTATGTGAAGTCCCTTGCATCAAATAAACCTTTTTGAAACTGATCTTGGTTTCATCTCTTTTCATGGCCCTCCCCAATTGCACCAGAGTAGGCATTTGAAATTATTTAATGTTGGCTGACTGTATCACATGAATCGCCGGTCCCTATACACAGAGACGAAGGATGAGGAGTGAAGTAAGACACAGGCCATAGTCATTCACCGTAACATCACAAAAACTTAATTTTCACGTTGAAAAATAAATTCTAGACTACATACCACATGACAATCAATAATTTCTCCAAACAGGTTTAGAAATATCATTAATTTGCCCCTTTCCGTTGTCCAATGCAACCGATCGCATAGAGGACATCAATTTAACTCCGTAATTGATTTTTAGACTGTATTAGTTGAGAAGTGGTTTTTATTATTTTTACCCAAGTGTGTGTCCTCCGGCCTCACAGATAAGATTTTATGTTTAGCAACACAATTTCTCAGTTTTGGATATTTTTTACGTGAAATTTGACATTTGCCTATGGTCTAGGGATGTTACCTTAAATATACATTAATAAATCTCTAAAGACTGCAATCATTACTGCCCAACCAGACTACATTTCTGTATTAGCAGGTGAGAGCTATATTCATTCTGATACCAAGCCAAATTCATATTCTCTTTGGATTGGAATGGTCGTATTATTCGAAGTTGAATTTATAACAATGGGGTCTGTATAAAACAGATATTCTTGGCAAGGCGACAACACTTAAGGCTATTTAGAGGTAATATACACAATTTCTATGTGTAATAAATAATTTGTATTTTCTGTCGTTAAAAAATACGGGTATCAAATAAAAAAGTAAAAACACCATCGATGAACAGGGTGTTCAAAAAAGGTGGAGACATAATTACGTAGTGATTCCTTGGGTCAATATAAAGAGAAAATCTAGAATACAACCTTTCTAATACCGCTTCATTAACCAGATATCCGCCATTTTGTTATTTTACATAACAATTTCAGCTTAAGATTTGTTTAGTCTGTAAAATGGGGTAGAATAAGGCTAAACTAGCCAGGCTTGCCTCGTTGTAAAACCAAAATTCATGAAATTTAAGTTATTTTTCATCTTGTTCAAACTTGGTGGCAAAAGTAAATTTTAAATGTTAAAGTTTAAATTCTAATATAAGGTACTTTTTCATAAAACCAGCAATTATTATGGATCAAGATAATTTTTTTTCTAACATGGGTCTCTTCTATTTTATAACATACACAAAAAGTTCAATAAAGGTTGGTTGAAACAATCTAAAAATAAAAACGTTATGTGAAAAATACAAATTGTCAGATATATGGTTAACGAAGCGATTCTGGAGAAGTTTTAAATCTTATTTTCTCTTTATTTTGACCCAAGGAATCACTACCTAAACTACGTCCCCACCTTTTAGAACAACCTGTACAATAGAGTCAAATACATTGTGTGCCTGTGTGTCTATATTTCCAGCTGTTCTTTGCCTAGGATCATTTATTAAAATCCTAAAGATAAAGGATACCATCCGGGCTGCTGTTGTGGTCCAGTTTCAAACTATGAATAATTACTGAACATTGGTGCACCAAGCTGTTAATTACGAAACAAACACTATATCCACTCATCACTCCAGCTAATACATTTGGCAAGTATAAGACTAATACAATTTAAGAAATATACAGAATACATGTAATTGCCTCTACATTTCGATGGGTAAAACATTATGTACAAACAAACAGTACCTTGAGAGCCTCTTCATGTGATATCCCAGTGAAGGGGGTCCCGTTGACTTCCAGTATCGAGTCTCCTGGTCGTAGACCCGCCCTCTCCGCTACACTCCCCTCCTCCACCCTGGAGATGTATACCCCGACCCCTGCAACAGATATGTCCATGATCCAGGGGGTTTTAGACGAAGTATTCAGGGATGATGTTACTATTGTGGTGTATAATGTAGGACCAATAGAGGCCGAGTCCATCATCAAAACAGCATCCTAAAATGTATTAGATGATCACTATTATACATTTAAACATTTAGGTTATGCTTCCTCTCGTGTAATAATAATGATATTAGAAAAAAACTATTTCGAATATTATGTACACCACCAACCTACAATAGACAAGTCTATAATGAAATACTTTAGGTGCATATTTTGTGTAGAATATTCAGTGTTTGTGTAAATTTTACTTGAATATTATACGGTGGTCTGCCCCCAAAGGCAATTTTTCCACTCATTCTAACACAGTGGTCACATGGAAGAGAGAGGATAAGAGACCTTAGGTGGAAATAATTGACCACGATTTACATATTAGAACAGGTCCGGTCTCAAAGAAAAACTGTGTTAGTGTCTTTGTTTTATCATGGAAAATATTCATTTGTAACATTTAAATAGTTTGTTTGAATGATGTTTAGCAAATAATTAATTTACATTGACCGAACAAAATTTAATAATGTAACTTGACGAAGGAGGCAAAGAAGGGCACCGAGCAACTTTGAGATAAACTTTAAGAGGATCTGGAAGTGACGTGCTATATGTGAAGAATGAAAATGTCGAGAAATGTGCGCGATATTCAAGTGTTACCATTCTTCTATCTTGGGTTTCTTGCATCCTTCATGAAGTAGAAATAAAAAAACTTCTGATGTCCTACATTCTAAACTCTCTTTCTCAAATAAAGCTGAAAATGTCTGGGTAGCGGAGGTATTTTAGGTATTTGTTTTCAAATCCAAAGGTTTCTGGTTCGATCCCAGTCAAAAGTCAATCATAGACCCATGTCAACGTTTTTCATTGGCCTGTCAATTAAAAGTGGCATTACTTTACCTATACAGGGTGTTTCAGAATTAGTGTCGGATATTTTAGGGTATTATTCCTGGGTAAGAAACATATCCAAATATCATATTTAAACAGTCCGGAAGTCTTTATTTACTCAAACAGCCGCCATTTTGTTTTTTTCCTTTAATATTTTTTAAAGAGAATGGTAAAACATACGGAATTTAAACTTTGCACAAACATTTCTGACTACTAGGCAAAGCTACAAAAAAATTATGAAAATTTTCCAAATACATAAAACAAAATGGCGGCCATTTAAAATTTTGTTTCTTAAACAACTCGAAAACCGTTGATTTTATGAAAATTTTACAAGAATAACTTTTTTTAGGTAATTTTATTACAAATCGATTGACACCTTAATTTTTACAATTGAACGTATATTAACTGAGATATGGCAGTTTTAGTGATACGTGACCACTGGAGGTTAGTTGTAGTGCATGCGGAGTTATGCATTGTTGTGGCAGACGTATCACTAAAACTGCCATATCTCAGTTAATATACGTTCAATTGTAATGTGTCAATCGATTTGTGATAAAATTACCTAAAATAAGTTATACTTGTAAAATGTTCATAAAATCAACGGTTTTTGAGTTATTTAAGAAACAAAATTTTAAATGGCCGCCATTTTGTTTTATGTATTTGGAAAATTTTCATAATTTTTTTGTAGCTTTGCCTAGTAGTCAGAAATGTTTGTGCAAAGTTTCAATTCCGTATGTTTTACCATTCTCTTTAAAAAATATATTTAAGGAAGAAACAAAATGGTGGCTGTTTGAGTAAATAAAGACTTCCGGACTGTTTAAATATGATATTTGGATATGTTTCTCACCCAGGAATAATACCCTAAAATATCCGACACTAATTCTGAAACACCCTGTATTTTGGTTGGATCTAAAGGTCGATTAGTGAGTAACAAAGTCAAGATTTGGACCGTATCTTTACCAAAAATGCAAATCACACCAATGACGTTTGAACAGACTAACTTAGTATAATATACAAAAATAAATTTACATCTACATGGGAATCTATTTATAAAATATAGCATATACAAGATTCAAGGTCATCAGATTATAATAGCAAACATTTTGTTTTAACGTGCCCTAAACTGTATTACTTGTTCCCAACTTACATAATAATAATTCGATATTTTAGTATTATAGACTCGTGGATGTAACTGACTTATCTTCTTCTTGCTCATTAAAAAGTATATTTATTAGCTAGTGTATGAAGATTTTAACTAATTTAAAGCTAACTACAGTAGGTATTTAAAAGAAAATGAAAAAATAAAGAACTAGAATCAATTAAAGAAAACTGATGATCCGTTTGTTATCCTATAAAAGAAACTAATTGTTGCATTGTGATTTTAGATGGTCCAAAATGGTATATACATTTCGATGGATTATGGATTCTTGTTAAAATAACGTGTTCTTTGAACTTGCGAAAATCAAACATCACATTAGTTTATTTCTGTATTCCCTCTAAAACAGTAAAATATCAGCTGATAGCGCTTGACCTCAAGGAGCCATAATAATTCCAGGAAGGAGCAGCCATTAAGGCCTCTTACAGTGGCAACATTTCAATTTAATTACACAACTTCATAACGTCTCCAGTGCTTTGTAGGATATCTTACATCAATGTTATTTACTACCTTTAACGCCGTTATGGTCCATCGTGTTAAGCATCATTAATAGTTTGAGAATCGATCCTGACAAATTAACCCACAGAAAAATGATGATCCGTGTTGGTTACAGAAAAAAGTGTTGCATTTAAAGGGGAGAGCATATGAAATGTGGAATTAAATCTAAAACTCATGAATATCAAATTATCAATTATCAATTATTTAAGATGGGGACGCCACTATGTGCGTATTTTAACCCAAATATGAGTGAAGGATGAGTGTAGGATGAGTGGCGCGATCTTGTAGTCTTGTTAGTTACTAAGGCCGACATGTTCCTTAGACACAGCTGTTAATTAATAGCCCATACAGCTAATGGCAACTAAGGGACCTACAGTTTATTGTGGAATCCGAACCACATTTTTTCCTCGTAATTAACGAATTGGTCTAATTATTAGGATAGTACTGCGGATAGTCGTAGTACTCACTTGTGCGGACGTTAATCCACACCAGGTAGCATCGCATCCACAGTGCATCCCTATAATTATCCACAATTCGTGACCTCCTAGTAGCTGGATTACAGGACGACGCCACCCGTCCCAGTCAATTAAATAAAATTCATACAGAATAGGAAACTAGTGTTTAATTTAATTAAGTAAAAAACAAAGGCAATAATTATAAAACATAAACATATTTCTTTTTACAAGTATTTGATTTACTATCTGTTCTATACTGGATCAAGTAAATGTCATGACAATTTAACATGAGTTAATTACAGTCCAGCGAGTGCACTAACGTACAAACAAAACATTTTATAATGACTTAAATAAAAATAATATTCACATCTTTGACCTTCACAGATCATGAGTGAAAGTCCAACAGCATTGTGTTTCCAGATTGTCCAAAATGGTACCTCCATCTGAATGGATTATGGCCTCTTGAATAATTTTAAATTGAGTTTAAGTTTACGAAGAACTTCAAAATTTAAATCTTTTTTGGCTAAAACAGGTTCTATTTGCAGTTCAATCTCTAAAAATAAATTTAAATTCTCATTTAAATAAAAATACTTGAAGCAGAATTGTTAGATAGAGTGAAAGGTAAAACATGAATTGTTATAAACCGTCAGTCAAAACACCGGATATTGCAGCTCAAGCAAATACGAGAAAAACAAAAGTTTCACAATATTTCCCATGTCATTGATAGAAGTGGAGGAATGGAAGAGTGAGAGAGAGAGAGTCTAAAGAGGGTTGCGGGGGGGGGAAGGGGGGAAAGAGTAATGGCTCTAGGCTGGATGTGGTTTTGTTTATATAAACTCATCCTTCTTTTCCTTAGGCTGTGACTTTATATTCTCATGACGCAATTCTCTTTGAGATTATAGATCTCTGTCCTCAGATGGATAATTGTGAAAACTTCTTTTCTATTTGTGTGGGTAGGCCACTTTTTTCTATTCTATTCACTCCAAAATTGGTTATTGTGCCCTCAACTTGTATATTGTTTTACTAGATGAAATTATGGAGGGCGTATATTAGGCGTACTAAAAATTTAAAAACAATAATGATTTTTGAAATTATCAATTATTTTGTATTTAGAGGTTGGCTAAAAAAATGCAAAGTGAAACTTTGTAAATTTTTTGTTACTGCAAAGAATGCATTACAAACATAAAATGTTTAGATACATGATTCTGTTTTATTCGACATAATTGATCTGTTGCCTAGAAATATCTTTGGTCTATGCTATAACGGAAAGGAAAATAATGGCTAGGAGTTTTATCTAAACTTATAAATAAATTAATACATCGTGTGTTTGCCTCAATCGCGTCCTTAGTTGGAGATTGGTCCCAGACCATTCACTCTTATTTTTAAGAGTTATCCACAATGGCTTGACTCAGCTCCAACAATATAATTAAAAAATAAACTGTTCGCAAATGCATAGGAATGGAGATTAAATTTATCTTGTTACAGAAGATATATTAGAATCGTGTTTTTAATGTTTCAGAAATGCATGAAATTTAACCAGACCAAATCACAAATGAGGGAAAAGATCAGGACGACTCGTGTCATGATAGGGATAGTGGTATAAAAACAGTGCTTCATTATGGCATAGATATCCCCTTCAGATTTGTTTGCCTTACGGATCAACAAAGATTTTGTAGAGCGTTATTTAATAGATACAATTTTTTCTATTTAAAATTGTACCGTAGCTATTTTGACATAATAAAAGTAAAATTAAAGTTTTAAGTCAAGTGCAAAATTTTCCTGAGATCTTAAGTACCAAGAATTCAAAATATTACAAAAAATAAGTTCACCCAAGGTTTTTAGCAGCTTTCAAAAGTTAAAGTTGTTGTTTAAAATTGCCATCGGATCAACTATTTAACTGCCCGAGGCTCTACGCTATTGTTTAGAAATCCTACTAACCTACAGTACATTAATACGGATTATTTAACAAAGGGCTGGCTTTTCGCCACAACCAAGGCCTAGTTGGCCCTAGACTCAATGTCAGGGGTAGTTTAAATGTTGGCAACGTAAAGGGCACTTGTTTTAAAGTTCAAGGCTAATCAATGTTTACCTACACATACATTTCCTGTGAAAATACTTGTGTAGGATAAAAATTATAATTCCTACACGAACTAAGATTTATCTTACAAATCAGTTAGCTAAACAGTGAACGTTGAAGCTGGTAGGATCTGTTGCACGGTTATCACCGTGTTCTGACAAAAAATGTTCCTTCGCTAATATTCTTTTTGATATCAACATATTAATCTTCATTCAAAACTTTACACAATCAGCAATTGACGAATAATATTTATTACATTAATAAATACAAATAATTCTAAATTAATTGAGAAACCATTTCAATCGTCAGGACGTACAGGATAGTAAAACCAAATATTATAGTAGCTATGTATACAGGGTGTTTCCAAATTGTCTGGACATATTTTCTGGTCTTGTTCCTTGGACTAAGACAAACATATAATGTCATGAAAGTATGGGGCTATGATAACTAGATTTCTGTCTATCGGTCTGTTTGTGATTTTTTTTAAACAATTTTATATCTTGGACATTTTTTAACAGAGAAATATCAAAATTGGCATAAATGTGTAGTTTATAAGGTAATAAGAGCTTTGAAAATGTCGTTCCAATATCTCAAGTCTGCCATTTAAAATCTTTAATGCCAAAATGTTATGAAATTTGTAAATGGAAAATTTAAATCCAAATCTTTGAGACCTTGTTTGTTAAAATTGGATGACAAACAACAGAGTTATAAGTGTTTCCTACATTCGGTTACGCAATAGGACAACCAATCACACTGCTGTAAATTAGGCCCTATTAAATTGCATAATAACGTGCTGATTCAAGTGCAGTGTAATGTATATACAATTCCCCCGCCGCAGCAAACCTGTAGACTAATCGAATTGAAATTTTGTCTGATTAAATTTATTTAAATAGCATTATGTTTAACAAGTACCTAGGTTTGCTGCTACAGGGAGGATTATAAAATGTGTTTTTATCAATAGCTTAGTACAAAAAACGAGCAAAATTTTATTAAAAGATAACCATAAACACCCTTAAGATTAACATAGCAAATTTTAAATTTAACGTTAATATATTTTCTCCTCAATAACCCTTAGAAGTAGGACAAATATTGTAACAAAAATATGTATTTTTTGTGATCTTTAACCATTGTATGAAAAATAATTTCTGTTTTTCCAACGGTTTGGGAAATATGGTCAAAAAAGTAAAAATCAGTAAAATGGTCAAGTTTCATCAAGTTATTTCAAAATGGCGGCTGTTCAAAACTAAAAAAAATATGAGGAAAATAATTGTGAATTGTTTTATACAGGTGAGTTTTAAAAGAGCCCCCCCTACTTTTTTATACATTTCTAAAGATATCAACTTTGAACCATGTCAGATCATTGTAGAGTAGCAAGTACTTCATTTTGACTGGGTTTAAATTTTTGGCCGCCATCTTGGGTCCGTCATTTTGGATACAAAGTTATTTTTTCAAATGTAAAGGTAGGGTTGTGACCCACCGTTTCAAACAAGACTTTTACGCTAAATACGATGCTGAAATCTGTTTAAAAAAATAATGATCCATTCTAAAGTTATGAGAACTTTTTATAACTTTATTTTTAGTCCATTATAACATTGTGCATTTACAAACTAAGGCCATAACCTCAAAATAGTGCTAGATAAAGATAAGTGGACACCACTATTCATTGTTGACCTATTTTCACTCGGTTATGACGGATGTATTTTTTTAGCCGCCATCTTGGATCCGCCATTTTGAAATGTGATAACTTATTTAAAAAATGAAGGTGGTGTTGTGACCCATCATTTTGAACTACTTTTTATGTTGAATTCAATGCCGCAATCCGTTTTTCATTGTCATATTTGGTTTTTGAAATATTGACATTTTAAATCAAAATAATTGTTATATTTTATCAAGAAAGCTTGATAACAAAAACAGATCAAATAAAACCCAGTCAAAATGAAGTACTCACTACTCTACAATTATCTGACGTGGTTCGGAGTTGATATCTTAAGAAATATATAAAAAAGTAGGGGGGGAACTCATTTAAAACTCACCCTGTATAAAACAAATCACAATTATTTTCCTCATATTTTTTTAGTTTTGAACAGCCGTCATTTTGAAATGACTTGATGAAACTTGACCATTTTCAATCCAGGCCGAGATAATGTATTCAAGCACTTGTGTGCCAAATTTCATGAAAATCGGTTCAGGCATTCGGTCATTATAGCCAATTCATGGGGACCCAACATTCTCTTACGGTCGCCATTTTGATGACGTCATCACGGACGACCGAGGTCCTTAAAAATTGGGGTCTGGGCGGTTTTAGGTTCAGAAACTTGTATACTATAACCACCTAAAATTGCAGCCTCTCCGCCAGAACTGAAATATTCTGCCATTATATACAGCTATACGACCCCACTACTAGTACAACACATATGCAAAGTTACGCCGTTTAGAGAGTTATTTCCTCCTAAAACCCTAAAACGACTGCACTATTAATTAAATAATATGTTTCAAGTGAAGCTCGTTACACAAAAATCATGATTAATGGATTGCTCATTCTATTCTTAATAATCTGAATATTGTTTACGGTATCAGCGTCCTCATCCGATCAATATGATTTCATGTGGACCAAAAGTCACAAATATTTATAATTTCTTAGTTGATTAATATTTATGTTCTTCGTGAAGTCCTCTTTGTAACTGTAGGTATATTAGAGAGATTTTTTTATACAAAGATAATACTTATTACAAAGCCATGTTAGTGGCACGGCACTCACCAGAGTCCTTAGTGCCGCCCTTGACGCAGATGCCAAAGCCGTGACTCTGGGTGCCATCAGCTGGTCCTCTGCTCATGCTGACAGTCCGGACGGCCAGCTGGTCCATGGTGGGGGGAGGGGGCGCTGGGCGGCGGGTCTGGTGGGGCTCTTGAGGCGTCTTCAGGTGGTTATGACCCAGCATTTGTAGCACCTAAGAGGGGAGATTACTAATAAACTTGCCAAGCAATATTTAGAATTTAATGTAGGCAACAAGTAAGTATTTTATTGTACAGAATACTGAGTTAAACGTTTTACAAAGGCTACTGTAACTTAGTCATTCCATTGACATTTTAAATATATAGGTATTTAGTAATTTTTAATAAGGTAATCCAGTTAATCAATAAATAGAGTATGCTGCCATTATAGATACATTTTTATGTTACACAGTACAAGCTAACGATTTTAACCAGGTATACCACAATGGTGGGATAACTAATTGTAAATTTCATCCTTTATTGTGTTATATCAACTATAGCATTGAATCTAAGGAAGGAAATGATTATGGAAGCAAAAGCACACTCTATAGTGTGTAGTTTTCTCAGTTATCTACTCTGGTTTGACTTCCTCCATCAACCATCACAGCATTAATAAGATTTGGGTTTCCCAGTTACCTGTTCAGGTGAGATGGGTCGCTTCTTCCCGGAGGCGGGGGTCCTGTTGTTGTTGTGGGAGAAGGACGTTGACGAACCAAGGTACGTCCCCCTGGGCTTGCCAGCTCCACTGCCACCGCCACCGCCTCCACTTCCTCCCCCGCCCACCCCCGGGGGCCGCTCTACTATCGTGTACGAGGTACCGGGCGGCGAGTAGTACAGGCCGGAGCGACCTCTGGGCACCTGAACAGAAAAAATTATCAGTAGTTAGTTAGAGTCTTAACAGTTTAATCATTATTCTTTAATGTGGATCCTACAATCTTTTAACAAACATCTTTATCAACAGGCCAGTCGACCGACACTTTAAATTAAATGAATACGAAAACCCAATTTGTAGTAATTTGGTCCACAGGCCAGTTTACCTAATTTGAAATTTTAAAATTAACACGAAACACAAATGAAAATGTTGGTTAACTGGCTTGATAAGCAAGTGATATGTCGGTAAAATTGTGGCCTTCCCGTTTATCGTTATAAAAAAAAACCAAAGAGGGTATGGTAATGATTAGTCTGTATCACGAATACTAGAAAAATCTTTTATATTTTTTGTATTTTCCTGGTATTCGTGGTCTGTATAGTGTCAATCAAAAACTGAGCCTACGTACTTATTGCGCTATGGGTATATTATAACCCTGGACAAAAATTCTAGTTTTAAACGCATTTTGCTAAAGATTGTGTAAACAAGTACAAAATGAAACTGTTTCCGTAAAAGTGCAATTTTCCTCCCTTAGGGGAGGGACGGTAAATGTTCCCAACGGTTAATATAACCAAACAAATTGTATTGGGGGAATCTCCTTCATTTTAGCGAATTTTCCAATAGGGAAGTTAGTAGCTATTGCCGTAGTTGGAACGGTAAGACCTAGGCCCGGGACCAGTCGGGATATTTTTCATTTTGATATCCCCAGAGGCCAAAAACACTACTTATTCAAGTTGTTATATATGTATATATTAAAAATTATAGTAGAAAATAAAGCACAACTGATCCCCCTGATATAATAATTATTTTATTCATGTTGAAGCCTTTCGGAATGGGTAATAAATTATAACAGGTACGTAACCTGTTATAAACTACTATTAGATTATATTTCAGGGTGCTCAGTTGTTGTGCTTTATTTACTACTATAATTTAATATATCAGCAGCCCTATTACGTGAACCTAAAATTAAAATACCGTATGTATATAATTATATATTCGAGTTCGTGAACCACCATGATCGGACCATGGGCACGGGGTTTTATGGGTAGTTTAATGGTGTGAAAATTGGTTTTTCATATTTTTGATCTTCAAAACTAAAAATTTTGGAATTTTATTCCAAACTATGTTGTAGAGATTAAAAAACAAATAATAAAGATTAAAATGTTCTCATGCGCCCAATGATTGTGGAAAAAATTTAAAAACTGTAATTTTAAAATTCCTATGTTATTATTATGGAGAATTAGTAAATTGTTGAAGTTCCTTGTTTATGGATATATTTTGATCAGACTTGGCAAATATAATTATTTCATGCTAAGCTATTGATATTTAGCAAAAAACCCCTTTATTACCTCCCTATTACAGCAAACCTAGGTACTCTTTAATTAATGTTTTACTTAAAAATATTTTAGTGAACATCAAATTAGGCGAATGGAAATTCGCTTGGTCTGCAGGTATGCTGCGACGGGATTTGTGTCTATGCCATTACGGCATTTGTCGATGATATCAATTCGAAAACACATTAAAGAGGAAGTGATACAAACCTATTAACCTTTAGAATATTGAATAGAATAAAAGAAAACTCAATAGCTATATTTGTGCGCGCACAGCTAGTTGTCTTCAATAAAAAAGTAACCATTATCCACATACTGAACCATACTGAAACCAGAAACAGGAATACTGACATAGAAATTATTATATTTGAGTAACTTCGTTGCCAGTTCAACATAATACACTACCTATATTAGACATACAGTATATAAAAATATTTTAAATAAAACCAAAAATGTTTCAAAGGAATCTCAGTAGGATCTGAAAGTTTTAGGCTTTACTATTTATTAATCTCCAACACAGTTGTTTCCTGATTGAGGCGCTCAAAATTTACCATGGTATGTTGTTTTTCTTGAGATATAGGTGTAAGGATAAGGTCAATTCAGAAAGCTACAGTGATACTATCCAATAGATTATAGGGCAAACAACTGATGTAAATTACAAGTTATAGAAAAAAGACTCCAACAACCCCGGCGCTATGGTGCTCACCAAATTGAGTTGACTGTTCTAGTTAAATTCTAGTTCTGTTTTAGTTCGCGCATGCCCACTAGCATCACGGTGTACTGCGCTTCTTTTTGTTTCGGCTTTCACTCGTACAACAGACTGTACCGGCTTATGAATTGACAGTCATCACTTAGTTATGAGATAATGTGTTTTTATGGTGTCAAGCATGAAATCTGTTTAAATTTATACTAGACGCTTTGATCTTAAGAGGCATCCTGAGAGTTTAGTGTCTCAACCTAGCTACTGAGGAAACGTTCAGACAGCAATCTCCAAATGACTCATGATTGAGACTTACAACCACTATGGATTCTAATGACCTAGGCTACGTAAGTCTACATTCTAGTTACCTGGGAGCGCCCCATGATGTCCTCCGCCTCGGCCGCTCTGTTGCCGTGGTGCTGCGAGGGCGCCATCCTCTGATGTGATAGGGAGCCCCCGCCTCCCGGACTGCGCCCCCAGGTGGCTCCGGAGCTCCCGGCCCAGCGCCCCCCGCTGCCACCGTAGCCGTGAGTGAGTTCCAACTCCCTCAACTCCTCGTCCGCCATCCCCCGTCACCTCACCTCCTGTAATCAAAGCATGGATGTTCACAAGCCTCTGAATTGATTGCATACTTTACCTAAGACAACAACAAATGTTTACCTTACCCAGGTAATGAAAGAAATTCCATGAACATCTTAAAGTTCACAAAGACAAAGATTGGTTGGAGATGGTTGGGTTATTTTTGTTCACGGTGGTTTGAGATTGAATAAGTTTACCAGACTATATAAATGCTACCCTGATCCCCCCACAAAGTAAGCAAGATAACCCTACCACACCGTAGAGTAATATCTCTGTGTACTTAAAACTCTTTCCGCCATAAAAAAATTCTATCAACAATGACAAATATTCTACAACGTTTAAAGGGATTTGAAAAACTATTAAGAATCAATAAGCTTCTCAAATATAATAGAATTCAGTAACCTGAAAGCACACTTTATAACCGGAATTGCTTTAGGTGGAAAATTGAGCTTTTGCTTTTGATGTAGGTTTGACATTGGTTATTGGTTCCAGGAACAAGTAATAAGACTTTGTGTATCCTGTGGTGGATTGCTAGCAGGTGGAGGGGAGGGGGATTTGCGTTCTGATTTGTAGTTTAATGGAAATGTTACGTAAAATTGCCAATTACTAGGATTTTTGTGTAACCATGCATGACTGTAAATGTATTTTCACCATACTATGATGTTTTTAGCCGTTTACATACGTTAATTGGTGGCTGAAAGTTACGTTTTGCTGGCTATGCCAGTTGTCATCGTCATTTTGGGGACCCCGAGCAGGTTTTTACATCCCTAGGGCCGCAAAATCTACTGTTCGCTTATTTACAAAACAATAATGTATATTAAATACACAAGCAGTATACATAGCTAAAAATACTGCCTTTAAATACTGCCACTAACATCTCATTCAAAGTAGACCTGCAATATCCAAAGTCAATCCAATTTAAGTGAAACCGAGCTCGTTTGGAACAATCAATTCGTGGTTTCATTTCTAAAAAATATTGGATTAATACGTTTTCCCTGTTCAATATTACAATCAGACAACTGCATTACACCTAGTGTTATGGGTTCACTGTGATTGAATGAATAGTTTGTGTGTACAATATTAATTTAAAAGTATCCCTTACTTCTTCATATTATTTGTTCCTAGATAGTAAAATTAATAAGTAGAAAATTCTACAAATTAAAATATGGTCATTTCAAATCAAATGCAATACAGTAAATGCATTCTTAATGCTAATAATGTAGTAGCCCTAATATAATATTTTTTTTAGATGTTACAGAGTATTAGGGATGATGACCCCCCCCCCCAGGTTCTAAGTTGTCTCTAGTTAAATAACTAGAGCATCCTTCACAGGAAGCGTAGTTTTGAATTACAAGTCCAGACAGGTTTCAACTTGTCAATGTGTATACATTGCTTAAGAATGTCAATACAAAATTGTTTCTCTCTTCTCTCCTTAAATAAGGGTTGTAAAATGAACGACAGGGTTTGTTTCAGAAAAAAATATGAACGCATTCTTCCTCATGGCATTCTTTCCTCTTCATATCCGGAAACCCTTTGAATACTGAACATGTCTTTCGCAAACCGTAGCACTATCAAATACATTATGGGATGGGTTTTAGCGAATTTCCCATATAAGGAATAAGCTATTACCGTAGGTCTCATGATAAGACCTGGACCTGGGACCAATTTACTTTTTCGTTTTGAGGTCCCCAGAGGCCAAAAACACAATCCGTTCAAATTCATATATATACATTATCCGAATTTGATGCAATTTGGTATAAACGTGTAAACCTACATTTATTCGAACGAGTTTGCGAACCAGCATGATCGGACCATGGGAACGGGGGTTTATGGGGGGTTTTATGGGGTAAAAATGGGTTTTTCCCGTTTTCCTACCCTAAAAACATAACATTTTTGAATTTCTTTCTTAACCATTTTGTAGAGCTTAAAAAACGAAATTTATATCGAAGCATTGTTGTATGCCTAATGGTTACGGATAAAATTAAAAAAGTGCAAATTTAAAATTCCCATGTTATTCTTATGGAGAAAATGAAAACTGTTGTAGTTTACTTGTTTATGGATATATTTTGATAAAATTTGGTCAATTTATTTATTTCTTCCTATACTATTGACGTTTGGTCAAAAAACACTGATTACCTTCCCTGTAGCAGCAAACCTAAGCACTAATTAAATGTGATGTTCTTTAAATTGGGAATAAATATGTCTTATTTATGGAAATATTTTAGTAAATATGTAATCAGACAAGTTGAAATTCGATTAGTCTGCAGGTTTGCTGCGGCGGGGGTATTTATAAAAACCATCGTCTGAATGAATAAATTATATGAATGATAAAAATCTATATCATGAAAATGTCAGAAATGTTGTTCTGCGACAAGCTACGGTAATTTAGCTACAATAATGATTGCCATAACTATATGCATTTCACACAGTAATGTACTGCGAATGATTCTATAAAATCAATAAAGCCAAAAACCTCAAGAGAGTTGCTAGTTCTTACGGAGACACGCGATTATAAATTCAGGATACCTATAGTAGGATATTAATACTTATAGTAGTAATATTATAGTAGGATTAAATTTTAGTATGACGAAAAGCATACCGTGCTCATACATTTATATTGTGAGATATCTTTGTTTCTAGGACTTGCTGTTTAGATCTATTGATCAATTAACTTAACTGGAATCCAATCGTCGTGAACCTTTGTTACATCTTTAGTCCAAGCATATGAGGAAAAAAGATGATGTTTTCAGGAAAAAATTCCCGAAGTTTTTTTCTCAGTGCTTTCTTATGTATTTTTTGACGCTGAATTCGATTTTAAACTTTGCCACCTCGCCAGAGGTGAGCTAACTTCAGAAATCGCAAAAAACTAATAAAATACTTGACTTTGTTTTACTTTTTTGCATATAATTCACAAACGGAGTATTTTTTTGCAATAACTGTCATTTACTAAATTAAAGTACACTAAATTCCCTACAATATACGTATATTAACTTTATTTCTACGATGTTCCAAACTGACGCTAGAGCACGCTCAAAATTCATCATTTTCTTTTACCTATTGGAAAACGTAGGAAACACCATTATAAATCTTTGGATTAGTCACCCAACGAGCTCTATTTTATGAATTTTGATTATTTTATAATTATATGGGATCATTAGGTCACATTTAGTGGTAAAAAAATGTAAGTGAAGTTTATAGTCGGTAACCATAGCATAAAAAAATAAGAAAACAATTTTCAATTTAAATACATTTGAAAATTATTATTATAAATAAATCATAGGGTCGACTAAAAATATAGTTTAATGTGCTGGGGCTGCAGTATGGATACCATTTTCTCCATATATGTACATTATATAGATAGTATAATTGAGCGAAGCGAGCGTAGCTCTTTGGGATCAACTTCAATGCAACAAATAAAGCAACATCACTCAATAACGGCAGAACACATTTCAGCTAAACTTAACAAGATTACTTAGACTAATAGTGAAATGGTTAATAAACAAACAATTTTCAATTAGATAATGCTAATGCAATTTAAAACGAATTTAAAATTTCCAATTTTTAACATTAGGCTTATGGGACTAAAGTAGCCATATGACAGTTTTTTGTTTACAAGAAAAATGTAAACAAGAGAATCATAAGGTTTTTATGAACTTTCTAGACTTTTCTTTTAAACGTTTTTAAACATGAACCTATTTGTGTTGCCAGCTGATTAGAAACAGCCAATGTTAGAAATCAGGATTTAATAAGCGATATATTGAACCGAATCGAAATCGATATTTAATCCGATAATACATCACAGTTTATATTATGTTGAATTACATCGACGGTGCAGTAAGTTATTACACTTATTAATAAAAACGCAGATTGAACACTCATCTAATTTAGGCATGTGGGGAAGGTAGGTCGGGGTTTATGAGTATTCGTGACTACGTGTTTTGAAGTAAGGTTAGATTAGGAAGGTAAAGTATAGGTTATAGTGTAATTGATCGAGTTGTTTATTTGTGTTGCACCAAATTAACTGATAATATTTTCCTGGTCAAAACTACCATAATGTACTTTTGGAAGAGGTATCTGAATAACAAGATGTAGTAAAAACAAATCTGAATTATCATAATTTTAAACAATAAAACCAGCATTAGTACATTGACTTTTTTACATTTAGTTACTTATACAAATATCAAATCACGTTTGTTCCGCTCAACTGGCTTTCACCTCTCTGAAAGCAACCCTAGTTATAAATGGACACACTATATACAGAAAATATACAGGGGGTGTTGACTGAAATGCTGTAGATGAGCTTCTATTTATTAAATTAACATGTACAACCATAGCTTTTATTTTCCTATTTTCACCTCACTTGCCGTCTTTATTTTATTTACTGTCTTTAGTGCCTTTACTTTACCTTGTTGGAATAGAGCGTACGTCGAGTCATAAGACAGTTATAAGACTAACGACCTCTATACCTATCATTGCTGGTTTTCTAATCCCAAATCAACAACAAACGAAATTACCGAGGCAGGGGAGAGACTCTTGGTGGACAACATCCCAGGTCCTTCTACAGAACATCCATCTCAAAGCTCAGCCCACATCCGAGGACCCCTAGCCAGTCAAGAAAATAAAGATGACAAGTGAGGAGAAAATAGGAAAATAAAAGTTATAGTTGTACATGTTAATTTAATAAATAGAAGCTCGTCTATAGCATTTCAGTCAACATCTCTGTCTATTTTCTGTATATAGTTTCTACATTTTATAAAGATACTATCTATATAATGTACATATATAGGGAAAATGGTATCTATACTGCAGCCCCAGCATAGTAAACTATAGTTAGAATTGACACATTGATTTATAATAATAATTTTCAAAGGTATCTTATATAAAAAAACATGGTTTTTCTTTTCCGACTACGTTTGGCTCTTCTACCCGACCGATTAACATAATTTAGGTCTCAAATTGAAGGTATGTACGCACAGATTTGCCATCAAGCATCGGCATGTATTTA